GCTGTGCCCCCATAAGTACTGCTCCTCCCCTCTTTCATGTAAATACTGGCCACAATGGGTAAACCGAAAACCAAAAGACACACCTTTGCTGACCATGATGTTGGACAGAGGACAATTTGAAAGAGGGGTGTAGGGAACAAACTTTGTGTACAGAGAAAAGCCAACACTGAAAAGATTGGAAGTATAGCATTTTTATATGTACTGTTTAAGACCCAAAATGTGTATATATATATATATATATATATATATATATATAAAAGCATATAACCTTATGTAACGCAGTTCCATCGAGATTCAAATGCCCAAGTTCACAACATACACTAAACAAGAAAGTCCCACAACCCTGGGGTCCTTTTGAACTGAAAGTTCTGTAAACCTGAAATCAGGGAACCTCTGAGTTTTCCATTTCACAAAGAGAGTTTACTCAAACTCTGTTTCTGTTGCCATGGTAAAATCCCCCCCAAAGGTAAGCTCCTGACCAAATCTGACTAAAGATTTTTGTCCTAGTTTTCTGCATAAAAAATAGTTTAATATGTCAATTGGACACATTAGTTTTTAAAAGCAAACGTTGCATGTCTATTTGACGGGGATCCTGGTAATCAATGATCGCCACTAATTTACTCAGAATGAAATATTTATAGGGAGAGGATTCTATAACTCAGTTGACAGGATATGAGATTTATTTGGCATTGGTTTGTTTAATATGTGCAACATGACTAAACATGCTTGTAGCGACAGTGGGGAGGAAAAACTTTTAGCAGGAATAAACCTCCAGCAGAATCAGGCTCAGTGTGAGCAGCCTTCTGCTGAGGCCAACTGGGGTTCAAGGAGACAGAAGCAGAGATATGAAAAGCAACTGTAAAAAGCGGCTGCCCTGTCCAGAAAACAGGCAGCCAGGCAGACAAGCTCTGAGTTAACTCCCATGTCAGAGGATGGAAGAGCACATCCAGCCAGTCACAGTCAGAGAAACAGGACTACACTGAATAACAGGCCAATCTCGAACATCAAAAAACAAAGGTGTTGATGGCAGCAGCACAGCTGATATTTCACTCGCCAGGATGGTCTCACAGCCAAAAAAGAATAGACTAAGCAAAGCTACTATGAGAAAAAGCAGAGAGAGCATAGTGTTAGAGATTCTGCAAATTGGGAGAATAGAGATAGAGTGAATCAGAAAGATGAAATACGGGTCCCTATGTCCCACAGAAGTCTAAGCCTATAGCAGCATAACTATAGAGATAGCTCAGGATAACCTGAGCCACTCTAACTATAAGCTTTATCAAAAACGAA